TTGGGCTGATCTATGTGCCATGCGCTTCCTGCAGGCGCAGCCCACATGGTAAAATCAAAGCCATTGCCGGATGTCCGACCTTGTCTTTCTGATGATCACTGTGACGAAAGGAATTTTGTGTGGAAACAAGTTTTGCAGCCCATTGTACAGCTCTTGCCTGCCACCTATATGGCAGAGGCGTGGCTGTGAGCCGGAATTGGAAGCTGCGGCACCGCTCAGAATGATGATCGCTTGTGTAGCATATTCCTTCGAGTTATAATCAATTATAAGTTATATATATATATACACCTATATCGGCTATATCGTGAGATTTCGACACGAGATAGCGGCCGCCTCTCTCTTTGGCTGTCTCTGCGGAGTGACTGGTGTAAGCCGCCTCCGAAAGGAGAAGCCGAAGGAGTCGCTCACCGACTCGCTGAACTCTCTTTCGCTCTTTCGTGCGCAAGAAAGATGCGATTTCGGGTATAAGGGGCCTCTAACTCCAGGTAAGCTCATGATTTCCGTTTAAGGGGCCTTTAACTCGATATTGTTGAATATCTTGCACGATATAGTCACCAACACTGTATCTTGTGTTATGTGGTGGCTTTCCGCCAGAGTTAGAGCCGACCATGTATTTCTTGAGTTGCTGGTTGCTGGGAGCCCTCGCCCGAATCCTGAAGCCAGGGAGTAGCTGCTGGGTGCCCCTGGACTCGGAAGAGACCCTCCGTTCCGGCAGGATGCGCCGAGAGCCAGCCGGCGCTGCAGCATGGCTTTTCAGCCCCGCGGCAGGGAAGTACAGTCAGGGAAGAATCAGAGTCGGGAAGCTGGTAGAAGGAAGTTGTTTGGGTTTCAAGGGCGGCTCGAAAAGCATGATTTAAGGTTTGTTCGTTAGATTCTGACAGTTTGTTTGGGGCCTTGGCGTGACACAGGTCGCGGCATGCAACCGTGATGGCTCCGGAGAGACCTGAGCCCTACACAGGGCCATAGGGTTAGGGGGTTCATACTGTCTCTTCGGGCCTTGAGGCTTTCGCAGTTGATCCCCTTTTGGTTGAGAGTTTTGATTTGGGCTCCCCGGATCTGGCGCTGCGGGGGTGTGCGCGCGATGTGGCGACAACACCCTCAAGCCTCTACCCGACACCCAAAATCCCACACAGCGCAAACAGTTGTCATACCCAATGTGCATGTGAGACTTTAGGCCGCAAGTCGTTCGAGATTCTTCAGCGCAGGATTTGTATTTACTGGTTTCCTCCGCCGCAGATGTAATGGTTTCACAGTTCACCGTCGTGTTGGGCGAGCCGTGTGCAGGTCATCAAAGCACACTGTTGGTACTAGTAGTGCTTGTAATATTTAGTCGGAATCACAATTTTTTTGTATCCATGCAGTTTTGGAACGTCGCAGTAGTTATAGGGCTTAGGGCTTAGAGGCTTTAGGGTGTCAGTCATGGAGCTGGGACTTCGGAGGTCGTCTGCCGGGCTTAGGAGCTCCCGGTGGCTCTTTCCCATGGAAGCTTCAGAGAGCCTCGCAAGGCCCGCAGCCCTCCAACCCGAGCCTTAAATACCCAATTAATTATGTTAATACACCAATGGCAATTAATGTAGAGGTCGGACCAAACGTATGGAGATGCTGTATAAGTCTGAAAGAGTGTAACATCACCCAAAATAGCCCGATTCTAATTATGAAGTCCACACTAACCCGCACCTCTACAAGATGTATGTCTCCTCCGCACCGGAGAACGGCAGGGACCTCTCAAAGCTGATACCAGCCTCCAGCCCCTCGGACAGCCAGAGACTTGTGAGATGAGGAAAGGCTCAGGACTGGGAGTTTGAGGATTGGAAAGGGGTGATACAAAAAAGGAGTTTGAGGTGTCCTTTGCTTCAGAGATCCAGTGCCCCCTCAGGATTTTGGTCTCGGGGTTTAGCCGGCCCCGGGGGTTCGGAGATATCTATTTTGGGCTTCAGAGGTTTAACGGTCAGAGGGCTCCAGCCGATCGGCGTTTAGCGCCTCTAGCGCTTCGGAATCTGAAGCGCTCATAGTCCCAGTAATGATGCAATGTACCCTCAACCTCAGCCGTTGGTTGCTCCGAGATGCACACAAGCCTCCTCGACGCCGACTCCGAAGAGAAGCAACCTGACTTAAGCAGGGCCTATAGAAAGGTCTCTCTTTGAGACCTTACTGAGTGCGTGTTTTGCGTGTTGTCATGCGGAGACTTGAGTGGCGATGAACTTCTGATTCCCTTGATGAGGCCTTCGGTTCTGGCTACCGCGGTGTTTTCTGTCTTCTATAGGGCTTCCGAGCCAGATCTTTCAACGACGATTCGGGTTGGAGTCCGAAATCTTCAGCCCTGAAGTCCGGGGAGTTTTGCCAACGGGCCTTGCGGGCTGCAGGGCCTAACTAACATGTCTTCCAATTCCGCAGAAATGACCGCAACTGTCAAGTACGAATCGTAACTTTTAGGATGCAGGAAGCTGAGCGGTCGACAGGACTTTCCACGCCCGCAGACCTCGATAGGCCTCTCTGTAGTCCTCTGGAAGCCCATGATGTTTCGAGCTCACTTCGATTCCGTATTGATAGTAGATCAGGCGCTGGTTGGCGTGGACGTGGCTCCAGTGGACGACCAGCTTGGCAAGGACAGGGCACCCGCCGGGCACCTGTAATGTCTATAATGTCTGCTGGCAAGGTTCAACGCCATGGCGAAAACACAGCGTAGCAACAGTCGTCGAATCCCCCCGTTTTTCGTGTCAAGGCTGCGCTAGAGGAGCAAGGGTTGAACGACTTGCCTGCAACATGGCTCTGCGCTTGTTGGATGGCACTCACCACTACGTTAGTCCACAAGACGTGTACAACCTGCTGTTGCTCGGACACCACGTTCGTCGGACGGATTGGGCCAAGGATGTTCTGCCCTTTCTGGGATGGCGCCTTTTGAGAGCAAGCGCCGTGGCCGCAGGAGATTGGGCAACATCTGCCATCAGTCAAGCTGGAGAGCTCGTCTGCTTCGCCGAAGATGAAAATGCTTTGCCACCAGACCTGGGCCCGGTGGTGGCCGTGGCTGCCGGAAGATATCACACCTGTGCCGTGAAAGCGAGTGGCGAGCTGGTTTGCTTCGGGGATAATGATTACTGTCAGTGCGATGCGCCTCCCGACCTCGGTCCGGTGGTGGCCGTGGCTGCCGGATGCTCTCACACCTGTGCCGTGAAGGCGAGTGGCGAGCTGGTGTGCTTCGGACACTATTTCGATGGTCAGTGCCATGTACCTGCCGACCTCGGTTCGGTGGTGGCCGTGGCTGCCGGATATTATCACACCTGTGCCGTGAAGGCGACTGGCGAGCTGGTATGCTTCGGACGCAATAGCCGTGGTAAGATTGGTAAGTGCGATGTGCCTCGCGACCTCGGTCCGGTGGTGGCCGTGGCTGCCGGATGCTCTCACACCTGTGCCGTGAAGGCAAGTGGCGAGCTGGTTTGCTTCGGAAACAATGATATGGGTCAGTGCGATGTGCCTGCCGACCTCGGTCCGGTGGTGGCCGTGGCTGCCGGATTTGGTCACACCTGTGCCGTGAAGGCGACTGGCGAGCTGGTTTGTTTCGGATGCAATGACAATGGTCAGTGCGATGTGCCTGCCGACCTCGGTCCGGTGGTGACCGTGGCTGCTGGAGAAGGTCACACCTGTGCCGTGAATGCGAGTGGCGAGCTGGTTTGCTTCGGACGCAATGAGAATGGTCAGTGCGATGTGCCGCCAGGCTTCAAGGTTCGGCTTGCCCCACAGTCCATCGGCACACCCACACCCGATCCAACGCAGGAGGTGCTGCAGCACGTGCATCACAGCGAGCCTGCCGCCGACATCTCGGAAGAGGAG